CGAGCAGCGTAATTAACGATGACTGAAGAAGGCTTCACCATCAGGCCCTTTCCAACTCTGTGTTTAGTTAGGAGCTTCTGAGCCGTCTTAACCTTCTTCCTACCCGCGTTGCTGCCTTCCGCCTTCTTCTTGGTGGACGACTTCCCTGCCTTCTCCTGCTGAGATCAGGCAAAGGAAGGTCTAAATGGAGCGAGGTTGATATCGTATCGACCTGAAACGACAAACACAAACTTTAGGTAAACATCACAAGACAGAGTCAAAGCGAGGCGAGGAAAGAAAGAAAAACTTATCCGACTGGATGCGAGGAAGAGCACGACGGATTCGTTGGCTCAAGAAATCTGGCCACCACTGAGGTCCGAACGAAAGCAACATATCCCTCAGTTCGGTAAATCCCTTCGCAAAACGACGAATCCCACAATGTCGAACTGCAAAATAAAGAAAACAGATCAGGCGTCAGTGCCGATCAATCCAAGAAAAACACAAGGGCAAAATAAATACCGATCTCGGTGTTCCATCCGGCTCGGATTTCTCAGTCCAGAATCCCGATCGAAGCCCGGTCAATCTTCACGAAGAAATAGCGAGTCTTCCAGTCGGCAGTTTTGTTGCCTTTGGAGCACTCGATGAGAGATTTCTTCATACTGAGATAGAAACGGCCTCCCTTCGCCGTTTTTTTTAGATATTCGTCAGATCCTTGAGGGCATCACAGCAGATTTTGCGACCAAGCTCGGCCGCCATTACTACTAGCCCGACCAGATTACGGACGGACGCGATCGTCAGTTGAGACATCGCAATCTTCCTCCGAGCACAGTATTCGACCAAAAGCCTTGGAAGAGGGAACCAGAGCCCACCCTCATAGATAAAGGACTCGTACAAACACATGTACCCGGATGAGGATTCCATGGTCGGTCGCTGCTCTTTGGAAGAAGGAAAGTGACTTTCGACGAGATGTGGTGCCCTTTCCGAAGGTTATTGAGCGTGTCCGCAGTGGATTTCGTCCCCTCATCATCATGATGCTCGAGAATAATATCAGAGGTGAGCCCAGGACCTGGGTGACGACCGTAGTCACCAAGATCGTCCAGCTCAAACTGGGAGGTCTGGTATCCAGTATCAGATAAGCTAGGTCTGAGAGCCAAACTCTTGCCAGCGCCATGTCTTGCCGGGGGAAGAACCACGCTCGGAGAAGAAAGCGAGCTCGGCACAGCACGTGAGCTCGTCAAAGGAGGTCGATCCGAGCTTGAAGCGATCCCGCCCCGGTTAGCGGTCGGATCTTCCGAATCAACGACTCAGGGTCAGAAGAAAAAGACTCGGGAGATTCATCGCCGCACGGAGGGGAGTATTCAAGGTTGGGAGAACTGCCAGAGTCAACCGAATCAGACTCTTAACGGTCGTTCGAGTTAGAAGACATGACGAAGAGACAGAGACTCAGGAAACAGACTTGGGGAAGAAGAAGAACCGACCAGGGGAACTCAAAAATCTAGCCGGGAAATTCGAAACCGAGCAGAAAAATCTAGAGAGAAGTTAGAGAGAGGATTACCTTTATCCAGGGAGAGAGAGAAAGCAAATAGAAGAAACCAAAGTCCGGATCTCGCTTAAATAGACCCAGCTCAGAAGACGAAAAGACATCTCTCGAGATTCCTCCACCGCTTCGGAAGAGCCAATCAGAAGCGAACAGATGATGGGCCTCTAAACCACATCGACGAGCCACCAACTAACGCGCTCGTTGACTGGGGGGCTACTGTTGGGCATGGGTCTCATAATTGACAAATTATGAAGCCCATCGCCGAGCTCGGCCCGGAAGAGTTGAAAGCCCAGGGTACTTTCCAAGAAAACCCTACATAAATGTACTTCATCATTCTAGTATAAAAGGGGGACCCCTCTCCTTGAGTTGTCCCATCACTTTTCCTCTTTTGGAGTAGTACAAGGGACTAGAGAACTAACTGTTTTCTGGACTCTAACTAATCTAAGAGAGAATAAATTCTGTTCGTACATTCCGCCGGAATCGTACGAGAATTTATCAGAAAGAGTGATTTTATACGCACTTATCATCGATCTCATAATACGTATCAATCAGCCCCGACTTCAGGATATTCGCTTACTACCCAGTTTCCGACCTCATGAGCTCGTTACTCAGTCAGTTCGTTTATACAAGGTTCGTCAGTCTACTAAGTTTCCGAGCTCAACATCCTTTACTTTCCTTGTTCCGTTATCCTACTTGTAATCCATTTCCGAGCATAATATCAATAAACAAAAATTTCCGAGTCTTTTTACTGTTTAATAAACATACTATCGAACTCGAGAATAAAAAAAAACAATAGGTATAAAACGTGAGTTGTTTGTTTACTGCTAACCTATTGTTTACTGCTAAACAATAGGTATAAAACGTGAGCTTTTACATTTTAATATGAACAAAGATCGGTACATTCTAGTGGTTTGTCTTAGTGTTATCGATGTATCACCATCTAAATTCAAATTTGCATAATGTCTATTGTTTATCCAAAAGAACTATATAGAATAAATTTTTGATTTATCTAACTAAATTCAAACATGAAATTTATCATATTATATTATATTGAATATTGATCAAGCTAGACAAAACAAAACATAAAGAAAGATTGTGACAAAAAAAAAACATAAAGAAATATTCATCTCAAATTGGTGCTAGCGTAGAAGCAAAAGACCTC